AGACCAGACTGGCCAACATGGTGAAACCCAGTCTATACTAAAAATACAAAAATTAGCCAGGCATGGCGGCAGGCGCCTGTAATCTGGGAGGCTGAGGCAGGAGAATAGCTTAAAACTGGAAGGCGGAGGTTGCAGAGAGCTGGGATCGTGCCATTGCACTCCAGCCTGGGTGACAAGAGCGAAAACTCCATCTCCAAAAAAAAAAAAAAAAAAAAAGGCTGGGACTACAGATGGGAGAAGCAACTGAAGGACCCCCTATAGCTTCTCAATCCTTGCTTTAGTTACTTGCAACTGAAAACAGCCCAACCAAAAGGGTCACCAAACAACTGCTGCCAAGCACTCCTGGATGAAGGACTTCTTACCATGGGTGGCACCCCACCCAGTTTTTGTCTCTGTTAGCACTTCTGGGCCAGGCGTGGTGGCTCACGTGTGTAATCTCAGCACTTTGGGAGGCCAAGGCAGGCAGATCACCTGAGGTCAGGAGTTCAAGACCAGTCTGGCCAACATGGCGAAAGCCCATCTCTACTAAAAATACAAAAATTAGCTAGGCATGGTGGTGGGCGCCTGTAATCCAGCTACTTAGGAGGCTCAGGCAGGAGAGTTGCTTGAACCCAGGAGGCAAACGTTGCAGTGAGCCAAGATCGTGTCATTGCACTCCAGCCTAGGCAACAGAGCGAGACTGTATCTCAAAAAAAAAAAAAGAAAAGAAAAAAAAAGAAAAGAAAAGAAAAAGAAAAACAGAAAGCACTTTTTGAGTCTGGAACAAAAATCTCTCAACCACATTCAGTGGATAATAAATCTGCCCACTAGCCCTAGGTCTAACTTCCAGGACCACAGAAAACAAATACAAGCCATCACCTTCATCATGCCAACTTTTCACACTCTCTAATGGACAGCTATCATATTTTCTTGAAATTTCTTTTTCTCTTTTTTGAGACAGGGTCTTGCTCTGTTGCCCAGGCTGGAACGCAGTGGTGTGATCACAGCTCACGGCAACCTCCACCTCCTGGGCTCAAGCGATCGTCACACCTCAGCCTCCTGAGTAACTGGGACTACATGTGTGCACCATCACGCCCGGCTAATTTTTTGAATTTTTTGTAGAGATGGGGTTTTACTATGTCACCCAGGCTGGTCTCGAACTCCTGGGCTCAAGGCATCCTCCCACCTTGGCTTCCCAAAGTGTTATGATTACAGGCGTGAGCCACTGCACCTAGCCTGAACAGAGAATAGATGTAACCTGTCTTAAGAGAGATTTTCTGTTTGTTTTTTCACTTGTTTATTTTGGAAATCATGAAAATCTGTTTAACCCATCAAAGCATGGCTAATAATATCCAATTGTTTGTGACTATGAATAATGATGACTATGTGAGAAACATAATCAGGACTACTTAGCATAGAGGTGCATGGGCAAGAATTAACCGTTTAGGGAATGCCCAAGCCTTTCTGTTAGTTTGTGTAACAGCATATGGGCTGTTACACAATGTTGCACTTACGCTTTAGTGGGGCCCCTCTGGCTCTACACTGAGAACAGACTCAAGTAAAACAAGGGTGGGCATGAGAAGACCAGTTAGGAGGCTGTTCCAGAAATCCAGGCAAGAGATGCTGGTGCCTTGCAACTGGGTAATAGAGGTGGAGGTGATGAGAAGAAACGAGGTGGTGAGACTCTGGTCTGCTTCTAGTTTTCTGACACCTCTAGAGCAGGGCCAAGCAAGCTCTAGTCCACAGGCCAAATCTGGGCTACTGCCTGTTTCTGTAAGTGAAGTTTTACTGGAACACAGTTACGCTTGTTCATTTACATATGTTCTATGGCAGCTTTTGTGCTACAGAAGCAGAGATAAACAGTTCTAACCTCACAGCCTCCAAAGCCAAAAATATTTACTATCTGGCTCTTAACAGAAAGAGTTTGTCAATCCAGGTCTAGAAAACATCAATTGTCATTTATTGAGATGGAAACCTGGGAGAAGATAAAATGTGAGGAAACAGCAAAGCCTGATTTGGGGCATGCTAGCTGTGACATGCCTGTTAGACATCCAAGCAGAGATATCAGGTAAAGCGCTGGATGTATTAGCCTGAGGTTCAAGGAGCAGGTTCAAGTTGGAGATAAAAGCTTAGGAATCATCAAATGAGGGTAATTAAAGCCAGGACACTGGATGACATCAGTAAGAGAATAAACCTGGATAGAAAGGACAAGAGGTTAAATATTGAGCCCTTGAATCCTAACATTTAGAAGTCAGGGAAATGAAAAGGAAGGAGGCAAAGAGTAGAGAAGGAACAGATAGAGAGACTGTGGGAAAACCAGGAGGATGTGCTGTTCTGGAAGCCAAAAGAAAAACGTGTTTCCAGGAGAAGAGGGTGAAAGCCATGTCTAATGAGGCTGACGGGTCAGACCAGACAGTGACTCAGAGCAACCACAGAGCAACCACGGGAAGCCTCGCCTGACCGGAGTTGATTCAGCAAAGAGTGCAAGGGCAGAAGGGGACGGAGAGGACAGGCAATTCATTCCAGAAGTTCTGCTGCAAAGGTTTTGGTGCAGAGATGTGGGGGAGACGCTGGCAGGGGGAATTAGATCGAGAGAGTTCCTTTTGTTCATTCCCATGATGGGAAAAGTAATAGCATTATATAGGCTGTTTAAAATAAAATTTAAAAAAAAAGGCTATATGAGATGGAAAATCTGATGAAGGAATAGAAAGCAACTGCTGGAGGGAAGGCTGAGTAACTGAGGGGAGATGGGTTCTAGGGTCCAGGCTTCAATAGGAGACAAGAACTGGGCACACATACAGGTAGGCAGATGGATGTGATGACTGGGGCTGAAAGAGGTTCCCTGCCTAGGCTCTGCCTGCATCTGTTTTCTCAATGAAATATGAACCCAGAGTTATGAACCCTGTGGTGGCACATGCCTATAGTCCCAGCTACATGGGAGACTGAGGCAGATGGATCATTTGACCCTAGGAGTTTTAAGCTGTAGTGCACTATGATTACGCCTATGAACAGTCACCACACTCCAGACTGGGCAACATAGCGAGACCTCAGAGCCAAAAAAAAAAAAAGAAAGAAAAGAAAGGAAAGGAAAGGAAAGGAAAGGAAAGGAAAGGAAGGAAGGAAAGGAAAGGAAGGAAAGAAAAGGAAGGAAATGAAAGGAAGGAAAGGAAGGAAAGAAAGGAAGGGAAGGAAGAAAGAAAGAAAAAGAAAAAAGAAAGACAGAAAGAAAGAAAGACAGACAGACAGACAGAAAGGAAAGGAAAGGAAAAAAAAAGAAAAGAAAAGAAAAGAAAAGAAAAGGGAAGCCAGGCCATCAGCTGAGAGAGTGAGCATGGAGAATGAGGTCCTGAACACTGGAGAAGGTATGAAACAGATCAGCAGAGTGAGTGAACTGGGAAGCATGGTGTAACGGCCTGCCAGTATCAAGGGTCTACTTGAGTTTGTGATCATGAATTTCATTTTTGTTGTTGTTGTTGTTTAGAGTCTCACTCCATCACCAGGCTGGAGTGCAGTGACGTGATCTTGGCTCACTGCAACCTCCACGTTCTGGGTTTAAGCAATTCTCATGCCTCAGCCTCCCTTGTATTGGAATTACAGGCAGGCAGCACCATACCCGGCTTTTTGTATTTTTTTTGTGAGACGGGTTTCACCATGTTGGCTAGGCTGGTCTCGAACTCCTGACCTCAAGCGATCTACCCACCTTGGCTTCCCAAAGTGCTGGGATTACAGGCATGAGCCACCATGCCCAGCCATGTAATCATGAATTTGAAATGAGACAGACATTTCAAAAGTTTTCAATTAGTTCAAATGGTTTCAAACGGTTCTGAGTTTTTCTATAGCCTTATTCCAGTGCATGAGAGAGATTAGGTGGGGAATGGGATTTAACCAAGATCCTGGTTTCAATAAGCAAGTAAGACAAAGTGACAGAGGTTCTCTCCAGGACAAATTCCAGCATTCCAGGTATGGCCTGACCAGGGTGAGGCAAAGAGCACTGTTGTCAGTACTGTGTCCAAGGAAAATCACATTTGGAATCCTGAACCCGTCAATCCTACCAGAAGACCATCAGAGCTTCTCAGAGACATACAGAGGAAACATTATAGGCAAGGGCATTCTTTATTACTAATAGGTGTTTTGGCTGAACCACATTAGGTCTAAACATTTATATATATATATCTATAGTCTACATTGATACCTATCAAGAAGTACAGGAACAAAACCTCTGCAAATACTTTTAATTGACACATGATTCTAGATCAAGAAGATAGATGACGTAGGTTGACTATCAAATTATTAGATAATATTATGATCAATGCAGGCCTCTTAGCACCCCCTTTACCCAACTAGAATCCTAAGTAATTATAAAATAATTATTATATGACAATAATACTATGCTTGATTTCAGAAAAGTTCACAGACAAAAGAGAGATATTTGCAAATACACAGTATGAAGAAATATTATCATTTCCCAACAAATACAGTCCTGGATATCAAGCATCAGCTCATTTATTATAAAGAAATAAACTTTTACTTTTAATGAGATAGTTCTAAAACATCCTATCAGGTAGTTTTATCCTCTGAAAAGTTAGAGAAAAAGTTATGTGCCAATGTAGAATGAAGACGAGGAAATCTGCAATTAGAGGTGTTCATTTTGACCATTATTTTAGTCTTGCATTTTCAGATTATTTTATCTTAAAACCATCAACCAAATTCATAAAATCAGCAGAACCACATTCAGTCTTAATCATCTTGTCATCAGAGATAATACCTAAACCTGTTTGGAAAAAAAAAAAAAAAAAAGATGCAAGTTATGGAAAGAAAAGCAATTGGTTTAACAGATTGCAATAAAAAAAAAAAAGGCGATAACACAACACATTGAAATGGTATTTAAATTACTACTTGGAGGATTTTAAAGAGCTGATGTCCGCTTCATTTTAATCTGTTCTGGAAACATGGCAACCATCAGCTTAACAAAAAGCTAAGAAGAATTACAAAAGAGTCCCAGGTATGAAGCTCGGGCTTACCTGATGCACCTATTGGGGAGGTAGCTGGGGTCATGTTGTGGACATTGAGACCAAGACTCTGAGAGGGTCCTGGGGCTGATGCCGCTATGGGAGGCCCCGGAGGGTTCTCCCTCTGGGGAGAGGTGAGTGGGGTGGTTGGCTGAGAGGTCTGTCCACCAGCAAGTCGTGCAAGGCGCCTCCGTCGAATCTACAACGTCAGGGGAAAAGAGCATTCTGTAACTAAACAGCAGAAACACAATTCTGCCAGAGAATGACATTATCCATAACCACACCAGAGCTTAACAACTAAATACGCCTTGAGCAAAAGTACTCTTCTGAGAGAATAACTCGCTCTACCACTATTCTTACAAGCTCTACCACTTGAGTTTTTAACAACTGGATCTTGGCCAGGTGCAGTGGTGCCTGCCTATAGTCTCAGCTGCCTGGGAGGCTGAGGTGAGGGGAATCGCTTGAGCCTGGGAGTTCAAGACCAGCCTGAGCAAGGCAGCGACACCCCACCTCTAATTCATACACACATGAATACGTATATACATACAAACATAAATACATATATACCGTATGTTAGTTCGCTTACCATCTCTGTTTATCACACCTCCTTGGCCGATATGGTGACTTTACAGTAAGCATATTACACTTTATTTTAGAGAGAGTCTGATATGGTGACTTTACAGTAAGCATATTACACTTTATTTTAGAGAGCCTCTCTCTGTCATCCAAGCTGGAGTGCAGTATTTCAATCATAGCTCACTGCAGCCTTGAACTCCTGGGCTCAAGTAATCTTCCCACCTCAGCCTCCTAAGTATCTAAGACTACAGGTGCACACTACCATGCCCAGCTAATTAATTTCTTTAATTTTTGGCAGAGATGAGGTCTCACTATGTTGCCCAGGCTGGTCTCAACCTCCTGGCCCCAAGTGATCCTCCCACCTTGGCCTCCCAGAGTACTAGGATTATGAGCGTGAAGCACCATGTCCAGCCTATGCTTGTAACACACTAAAGCTTGGTGTTATTTTAATAAAATGACCTAACTTGGTCATTTCAAATAGGTAAGATTTAAAAATAAATAGCCAATTGGCTGGGTGTGGTGGCTCACACCTGTAATCCCAGCACTGTGGGAGGCCGAGGCGAGAGGATCATGAGGTCAGGAGTTCGAGAACAGCCTGACCAACACGGTGAAATCCCATCTCTACTAAAAATACAAAAATTAGCCAGTTGTGGTGGTGCACGCCTGTATCCCAGCTACTCAGGAGGCTGAGGCAGGAGAATCGCTTGAACCCAGGAGGTGGAGTGCAGTTGCGGTGAGCTGAGATGGCATCACTGCACTCCAGCCTGGGCAACAGAGGGAGACTCCATCTATCTCCAAAATAAATAAATAAATAAATAGCCAATTTAATTCACTAAAACAATGAGAAACAAAAGTTACAGTAAGAAACAAATTTAACCATCACTTGTAGGAGCAAATGATCAGGTTTTCTTTTTTTATTTGATTCAATAAAAATATAATCTGCCACTTCTTCCTTTTAACATATAATTAAAAAGTAACACCTTATTGAAAGAGAGAAATAATCCATTCATTCAAAATGTATTTGTTGAACTCTTACTAACAGCAGGGCATCTCCAAAAGCTTCCTAATAGATTTACCCATGTCCCCTGAGCAAAAGCAGCCAGATGTAAAAAAAACATAGACTGTATAACCCCATTTCTATAAAATTTGAAAATAAGAAAAACTAAACTATACCATTAGTTTGGATAATGGTTATCCTTGGTGGGAAAGGGGCAGGAAGAAGCTCGGGAGAGGGAGGAGTGAGATTCTAGGGATCTGGTAATGGTGTTTTGTTGTTGTTGTTGTTTTTAACTAGCGTCACAGGTATCTTCACTTTATGAAAACTCACTGGGTTGTATACTTACAACTATGAGTAATCAGTTCATGGGTATTCATCTTATTCTTCTTCTTAATATACACGTTAAATATAGTCTTCTGTATAGAATGTAAATTTTTTTTTTTGAGACGGAGTTTCACTCTCGTTGCCCAGGCTGGAGTACAATGGCACCATCTCGGCTCACTGCAACCTTTCCCTCCCAGGTTCACGCGATTCTCCTGTCTCAGCCTCCCAAGTAGCTGGGACTACAGGCATGTACCACCACACCCACCTAATTTTTAATTTTTTGTAGACATGGCATCTCACCATGTTGCCCAGGCTGGTCTCAAATTCCTGGGCTCAAACAATCCTCCCACCTCAGCCCCCTCAAAGCGCTGTGATTACAAGTGTGAGCCATCGTGCCGGACCAAGTTTCATTATCTTATAGACAGTTAAATTTAGGAGTTCATGCTTGATTTCTAATTCAAATTCAACCTTTATTATTGACTACTTTACTTATCTGGAGCCTATCCGGATAAGTCACTTAATGGCTCTGTGCTTCAGTTTCTGCCCAATGGACGACTGTACACTGCACATTTGCACAACGGGGATGAAATCATTGGCTGAGGGGAGTCCGAGGTGGTGGATCATTTGAGGTCAGGAGTTCAAGACCAGACTGGCCAACATGGCAAAACCCTGTCTTTACTAAAAATACAAAGATCAGTTGGGCATGGTGGCACACGCCTGTAATCCCAGTTACTTCGGAGGCTGAGGCAGGAGAATCGCTTGAACCTGGGAGGTGGTCATTGCAGTGAGCCGATATCACACCACTGCACTCCAGCCTGGGCGATGAAGTGAGACTCTGTCTTTAAAAAATTAGAAAAAAACCAGGGTCTTCCTCATAGGGTTGTGAGAAAACCACCACCTTGTCCCTTTCCCTACTTATTTTTTCACCGTGGCTCTGATCTGCCCTATGACATGTGTGATATATTTGTGTATTGCTTAGTTTCTATCCCCCTACTTGAAGTTTCTTAAAGGCAAGGACTTCTGTTGCACCAGTGCCTAGAACAGTGGTAGGCACATGACACATGGTAGGTGCTCTCTAAATATTTGCTGAATAAATGAAAAATACTAGAAAAATGTACTGAACATAAAATTGACTAATTTATTAGTTGACATTATCATTATCATTGGAAGAGCACACCTACTATTGCTGGAAAAAATATGAAGTCACCTTAAACCTCAGTGCCAAGTTCAGCCCGAGATGTTAAATTTGGATGTTCTACTCAGTGATATAAACAGAGAATAAATGTTCTGACTCACTGTAATACAGGGTTGAAGAAAGAAAGGATTCTAAGGTTTCAAAAAAGGTTGAAGAATCGAGACTTTGTGAAGCATGTTGCAGACTATTAAGCAGGAAGAAAGAGTTAAGAGACAGAGGCAGGTCCACACATGACATAAGGGGTAGGAGAAGATTGGGAGAATACATCCTGCCCCATCTTAAAGATCTGCTGGAAAATTTAGGAAGTGCCATACAGGGGGCAGCGTTCTGGGGTGCCCACATCAGGGCTCTCAGTAGAGGATGACGCCCTTCGGTGGTCTGACTGCCTTCTACACTGGTGGCAGCTTTGAACTGGGTTAGCAACCTGGGAATATCTGGATTGGGGACTCACAAGAGAATGGCTTTGTGCAATCACAGGTATAAAGGTTTACCTCCAGCCTGGGCAACATGGAGAAACACCGGCTCTGATCTGCCCTATGACATGTGTGATATTTTAGTAAAAAATACAAAAACTGGCCAGGTGCAGTGGCTCACGCCTGTAATTCCAGCACTTTGGGAGGCCAAGGCAGGCAGATGGCCTGAGGTCAGGAATTCGAGACCAGCCTAACAGGGTGAAACTCCATCTCTACAAAAAATACCAAAAATTAGCCGGGTATGGTAGCATGCCCCTGTAATCCCAGCTACTCAGGAGGTTGAGGCAGGAGAAACACTTGAACCCAAGAGGCGGAAGTCACAGTGAGCCGAGATCGCACCACTGCACTCCAGCCTGTACAACAGAGCGAGACTCCCTCGCAAAAAAGGAAAAAAGAAAAAAAAAAAACTGTGCCAGGTGCAGTGGCTCATGCTTGTAATCCCAGCATTTTGGGAGGCCAAGGTAGGTGGGATCACTTCAGGTCAGGAGTTAGAGACCAGCCCAGGAGGCGGAGGTTGCAGTGAGCCAAGATTGTGCCATTGCACTCCAACCTGGACAACAGAGCAAGACTCCGTCTTTAAAAAAAAAAAAAAAAAAACCAGCCAGGAGCGGTGGCTCTTGCCTGTAATCCCAGCACTTTGGGAGGCTAAGGCAGTCGGATCACGAGTTCAGGAGATCAAGACCATCCTGGCTAACACGGTGAAACCCTGTCTACTAAAAATACAAAAAAATTAGCCGGGTATGGTGGCGAGCACCTGTAGTCCGAGCTACTTGGAGGCTGAGGCAGGAGAATGGCATGAACCCAAGAGGCGGAGCTTGCAGTGAGCTGAGATCACGCCAAGCCTGGGCCACAGAGCCAGACTCCGTCTCAACAACAACAACAACAAAAAAACTGAGGTGGAGCCTGGGGAGGTCAAGGCCGCAGAGAGCCATAAACTCCAGTCTGTGCGACCTGGTGAGAGCTGGGTCTCAAAAAAAAAAAAAAAAAAGTGTATCTAATTAATTTGACTACTAAGAGATGCAACCTCACTTTTTATCACAAACAGAACACATAAGATACACACCAAAAAAGTCACAACACACCAAAATATGATTAAACATTTTTCTCATTGTTTACTTGACTTTTTTAACATTAAGCCCAGAGGACTGGCATAATCTCTTTTAAGTTAAACAAAAGTCCTTTTTAAGAGAATTTTGTTTTCCCATTATCTCACAGAGAAAAAAAACAAAAGTATAAAAAAAAAAAACTTCCAATTCCTCAATTTGTGTCCTAAACCACAACTCAAAAGCCACACATAATAATTATGAAATCTCATTCCTAGAGTTTTTCTTGTCTGTTTCAGTTCTTATTTCACAAATGACATTAAAATAGGGCTTTCTCCTAATCTGTTATATCATGATGCAGCACTTCCTACCCTCACGTTCCTGATGAACTAAAAATAGATTCAAAACAGTGAAGGCCATTGTGATTTCAGGCAGAAGCTAAGACAGGATGGGCCAAACTGTTCCTCTTAGTTTTAGCAGTTTGTGGGGAAAAACACCCATAAAACACTGTTATAAGTTTAACAGTCATTCTACAAAAGCGTCTTACTTTTCTAAATTAAAAAAAAAAAGTGAATTCCAATATAAAGAAAA